ACCGTCGGATTTTAAATAAGTATAAAGATGTGGGCGTGGCTAAGCCTCAAACTTTGACCTGTCGCCACGCCACTCTTATTTTCACAGCTCCCTATTGGACTCCTTTTAACCAATCACCAGCAAACACTGGCAAATAGCAGCAGACAAGTTGAGGTCACTTGGTTTATAGTACTGGCAGGTTTCGAATAAAGGCGGGGCTTTGGGAGCATGGCGAAATTTGCCATCACGCCATGGAAATACGTTTGTCTCTCATTTCTTCAGTCATTGTGACATCGCCACACAAGTTCTGAAGAGTGATCCTACTCTGACCCCTAATAGAATTGGACAGCTGAAGTTTGTGGGCGTGACCTATTTTCTGAAACACCGCCCCCTAGGACCATTAAAACAGTCAGCCCCAAGCCATGCTTTGACTGAGGATCACAAAATTTGGCACACTAATGTAGTGTATCAGGACCTACAAAAAAGTCTCTTGGAGCCAAGAGCAATGTCCTACAGGAGGTCGGCCATTTTGGTCCAAGTACTCAATTTAGTGTTTTTCGCACACGTTATTAGGAGAATGATATCTCCTCGCCCTTTCCACCGATCACCTTCAAACTTCTGCTATATACTCTTAGGACATAGAGGAAAAAATTCAACCGTCGGATTTTAAATAAGTATAAAGGTGTGGGCGTGGCTAAGCCTCAAACTTTGACCAGTCGCCATTACCTTATTTGACTTAACAACTCCCATGTGCATGATCAGATCAATTTCATACTTTGTCTATGTGATCACTGACCACATCTGAAGACAGTGACAATGTGGACAGCTGACATCACCTAAGCCCCGCCCCCTGACTACAGGAAGTCTATTGTTTTATGGTGAACTGCCCATATTTGTCCCCTCTAATTTAGTCAAGATGACACTAAGGTCATGCACTGTCTTCATGATGTTGTAATGACCATTCAGATCTGATAGCTTTTTAGAAAGTGAGGGGCTTTGATGCCATGGCGATTTCTGGCGTGACGCTGTGACCTTACGTTTGACTGTAACTTCCACAAACAGCCTCCGATTTGCCCGAGACTGAACATCACATCACCAGTGTGGTAAAGATAGAGTATCTCCTAGTGGTGAGACATGTAATGGTGGGCTCAGAAGGGATGCTGAGTCAGGGTGAGGTGTGGACGAGGAGGCCTTTTACTGTTTCCGGTGTCGGGGTGGCTGACTTTCTGTTCCGCCAGGCATGCCCTGGTGCCCTCGGCTGCCGGCCAGGATGGAAAAGCGCGGAGCCGGGTTTGGAGAGCGTCGGGGATGGAGCGGAGGGGGTGCAGAAGGAGGGCGAGCAGCTTCGCTGCGAGGGCCGAACGACGCTGCTTGCAGCTTTAATTATTATTATTTTTTGTTATTCCGTGCCCCCTTTGAACAGCTTTTTGGGGACCTTAACATACCCCAAAACTCACAATATTTTGCACACTTGTCAGGCCTGGTGAAAAATTTGATATTTTAAAGGTCCCAAAAAAATCGCAAAGAAAATGGCTGAACAGCGCCCCCTACAAAGTGAAAAAAACCCCTCTCCATAAAGCTTAGTTTATCGTACAGTTATGAAATTTGGTACACTTGTAGTACTCAACAGTCCGCACAGAAAAGTCTCTTGCAACCATGGTCAATATCAAACAGGAAGTCGGCCATTTTGGGTTGAAATGGCGATTTTTTGCCGTTTTTGCCGTTTTTAGGGTCCGTTTCTGATTGGATTGCTCGATCATTTTTCGCACGATCGTCTCAAAAATTGTGTAAAATTGCTCAGAAGGGATGGGCGAACAAAATGAGATAAGGATTCTGAGTTTTCGTATATGTTGAAGGGGCGGAGCCAGGCCTCGAAGTTTGACTACTCGCCAAAAATATTTAAATTGCTATAACTTCATAACTGAATGGAATAGAGTTACCAAACTTTCTGTGGTCATTCGTCATCCACCCCCAAAGTAAACTGAATGGTCGGATGATGACATCACACAAGCCCCGCCCCCTCAGGACCAAAAAGATCAAGTTTTACTGTGAAAGGTCCCAAATTGCCCCATTTCACTTAATCACCACAAATTTGTAGCTGGTAACTCAAGACAAGTGGGGGTTGCTTGGCGTCACTTTATGGGAGTTTTCGGCAGAGGGCGGGGCTGTGGCGGCGCGGCGAATTCAGGCGTACCGCCTTGGCCTTACGTTTGCCTCCCATTTCGTCATTTCCAAAGATATCGTCACGAAACTTCTTGTGAGTGATCCTAGTCCGGCCCCCCAAAAGATCTGATGTGAACATCTGGTGGGCGTGGCCTATTTTCTGAAATAGCGCCCCCTAGGACCATTAAAACTGTCAGCCCCAAGCCATGCTTTGACTGAGGATTACGAAATTTGGTACACTAATGTGGTGTCTCAGGACCTACAAAAAAGTCTCTTGAAGCCAAGTGCAAAGTCGCACAGGAAGTCGGCCATTTTGGTCCAAGTGCGCGATTTAGTGGTTTTCACACACGTTGTTTGGAGAGTGATACTCCGTCGCCCTTTTCACCAATCACTTTCAAACTTCTGCTATATAGTCTTAAGACATAGAGGAAAAAATTCAACCGTCGGATTTTAAATAAGTATAAAGGTGTGGGCGTGGCTAAGCCTCAAACTTTGACCTTTCGCCACGCCACTCTTTTTTTCACAGCTCCTTATTGGACTCCTTTTACCCAATCACCAGGAATCTCTGGTAAATAGCAGCAGGCAAGTTGAGGTCACTTGGTCTCCAGTACTGGAAGGTTTTGCAAAAAGGCGGGGCTTTGGGAGCATGGCGAAATTCGCCATCACGCCATGGAAATACGTTTGCCTCTCATTTCTTCATTTATCGTGATATCACCTCGACCATTGTTGTGAGTGATCCTAGTCTGACCCCCAATAGAAAAGGTCAGCTTAAGTTTGTGGGCGTGGCCTATTTTCTGTATTAGCGCCCCCTAGGACCATTAAAACTGTCAGCCCCAAGCCATGCTTTGACTGAGGATTACGAAATTTGGTACACTAATGTGGTGTCTCAGGACCTACAAAAAAGTCTCTTGGAGCCAAGTGCAAAGTCGCACAGGAAGTCGGCCATTTTGGTCCAAGTGCGCGATTTAGTGGTTTTCACACACGTTGTTTGGAGAGTGATGCTCCGTCGCCCTTTTCACCAATCGCCTTCGAGCTTCTGCTATATACTCTTAAGACATAGAGGAAAAAATTCAACCGTCAGATTTTAAATAAGTATAAAGGTGTGGGCGTGGCTAAGCCTCAAACTTTGACCTTTCGCCACGCCACTCTTTTTTTCACAGCTCCCTATTGGACTCCTTTTACCCAATCACCTGGAATCTCTGGTAAATAGCAGCTGACAAGTTGAGGTCACTTGGTCTACAGTACTGGCAGGTTTTGAAAAAAGGCGGGGCTTTGGGAGCATGGCGAAATTCGCCATCACGCCATGGCAATACGTTTGCCTCTCATTTCTTCAATTATCGTGACATCGCCACAAAATGTCTGGTGAGTGATCCTAGTCTGACCCCCAATAGAAATGGGCATCTGAGATTTGTGGGCGTGGCCTATATTCTGAAATAGCGCCCCCTAGGACCATTAAAACTGTCAGCCCCAAGACAAGGTTTGACTGAGGATTACGAAAATTGGTACACTCATGTAGGGTCTCTGGCCCTACAAAAAAGTCTCTTGGAGCCAGGCGCAATTTCGCACAGGAGGTCGGCCATTTTGGTCCAAGTACTCGATTTAGTGGTTTTCGCACACGTTGTTTGGACATTGATGGCCCGTTGCCCTTTACACCGATCACCTTCAAACTTATGCTATGTACTTTTAAGTCAAAGGGGAAAAAATTCAACCGTCGGATTTTAAATAAGTATAAAGGTGTGGGCGTGGCTAAGCCTCAAACTTTGACCTTTCGCCATGACATTACTTGACTTAATAACTCCCATGTGCATGATCAGATCTAATTCAAACTTTGTCTGTGTGATCACTGACCACATCTCAAGACAACGACAATGTGGACAGCTGACATCACCTAAGCCCCGCCCCCTGACAACAGGAAGTCTATTGTTTTATGGTGAAATGCCCATATTTGTCCCCTCTAATTTAATGAAAATGACACTCAGGTCATACAGTGTCTTCATGATGTTTTAAAGACCATTCAGATCTGATAGCTTTCCAGAAAGGGAGGGGCTTTGATGCCATGGTGAATGCTGGCGTGACGCCATGACCTTACATTTGACTGTAACTTCCACAAACGGCCTCCGATTTGCCCGAAACTGAATATGGCAATGAACAATCATGCCCTTTAGCCAATGAGGCACAAACGGTTGGTGAATGTTATATAATGTCACCAAAGCTGACCTCAATGGGACTTTTCTGTAGTTGGTCACAGCGCCACCTAGATAACGTTATCCTTCGATAACTTTAAAAAACATGGTCAGAATAGCATTAAAGTTGGTCACTGTCATCACACCACCAGTGTGGTAAAGATAGAGGATTCCCTAGTGGTGAGACATAAAATATAACGGTGGGCTCAAAGGGGATGCTGAGTCAGGGTGAGTTGCGGACAAGGTGGCCGTTAGCAGTTTCTGGTGTTGGGGTGGTCGACGTTTGTGTTCTGCGGACGTGCCCTGGTGCCCCGGGCTGCCGGCCAGGCCGGAGCGGCGCGGAGCTGCGAGGGCCGAACGACGCTGCTTGCAGCTTTAATATTTCTTTTCTTTCTTTTTTTCTTCTCAGTGGCCCCAATCCTCTTGCGTAGGCCTTAGATGACCTGGAGTCAGTCAAAGTTGAAAACATTAACTTGGTGAATGACCTGGAAATATAGAAGATATATTTATAAAGAAACCAGAATGCATTTAACCCCGGCTGCGACTTCGTTTCAGCATGAGAGCGAACGTATGACGAGGACTGAAGAAGCTACATTCAAAGCCATGCGGAGAGCGTTGGATCTTAGGGGAGGACAAAGCAGGAAACCACACAGAGGAACACAGGATCCACAGAGCTCATGTTAAAAAGGTTTATTTCAACAACTGTCTATCATTTGTTTATTTTTTGTTTGAAGTCCCAAAAAAGTACAAAAAAAAAACAAGTACATCAAAGGATTAGAAACCACATCAATGAAAACCAAGACACATCGTGTTGCTTCTTTTAAATCAATCCAAGCAGAAAATGTTTCCAATATTTATACAGACTCACTGGATTAGTCAGACAAACATCAAAACCTCTCAGTAGCTTTCTGGGTTACTTTTTTTTTTTTCGTTTACAACACTTTTTTACGTACATTTTAAATTTCTGTATGACTTTTTTTTCTTCTTTTTACAAAATACACCAATGCAGGCTGGGGAGGTGGAAGGGGGGTGTCAGGGTGTTTGTTTACATATAAGAGTGTCAATCTTTTCACAGTATGTGTGTGTCATGTATGTGTGTGTGTGTGTGTGTGTGTGAGAAGTGAAAAAGATAAGGGAAAGTTGAGTAACTGCAACGGAGAGGGGGCGGGGCTGCAAGAAAAGGGGCATGGCAGGACATACGGAGGTGTGGCCAGGAGGCTGCAGGGTGAAGCTGTTTGGGGGGGCGGGGTTAGTTTCATCTGGGGCAGCCACAACAGTGATGATGGTCTATATATATATTTTTTGCAGCGACTTGGGGTCGCTCGTGGCAGTGGTGCCGTGTCGGAGGTGGTTGCAGACTGAGTTGGTTGGCTGGTTTGTTGTCAGGCTGGTTGGTTGTTTGACTGGTTAGACGCACTCGGCAAGGGATGACGAGAGTGGTGGGAGGGATTTGTAGGGGTTGCCGTCGCCGGTGCACCGTGGCGTTTTCTGTGTGCTGTTGCCGGGTCGTTTTGTTTTGAATCACATCATGTTGTTCTGCAGTGAGTTTACCTCCGAGGAGTTCTCCTCGCCCAGGACCTTGTGGTTCTCGTGTTTGGGGGTCAGTGAGTTGTGGATGTTGAGGGCGTCGTCCTCCTTGGGAGGAGCCTTCACCGGGTCCTCCAGCTTGTTTTGGGAATTCGGATCATCCTACAGGAAAAACGGGTGGAAGTGGAGGGGTGGGGATGGTGGGAGGCATAAGGCAGAGTTAGAACCTCAGCAAAGGTTGTCCCATTCATCTTCTGCTGCAACTCTGACCTTGCAGATGAGTAGAAAAACGCTGCTTTCAGACTATTTTACACCCTCTGTAAAGCAGAAGTTGATTCTCTTAAAGACAACATTCGTTACTGTTAAAGATCAGAGCTTGTAGAAAACAATCCTGCCACTTGCAATGTTTATTCTCTTGGAAATAAAACCCATTGTTTCATTGTTTTGTATCATAAAAACAGCCAAAATTAAACATTAAATAAGAGATATGTCATGATCATAATTTTTGGAACTATTTTGTTTTGAAATCCTTAGACTTTTTTGCACCAAAACTGATTTTTTATTATCTATCATCATGCTTTAAGGAACCTAACCAAAGTAATATAACCTGTTTGTGCTTTTTGGACAGTTTTATTTAAGAATTAGCAAAATACTCACTGACTTCCGTTCACTCTTGTATAAATTTCAAATAGAAGGTGTGATTAATTGATGAGTAATATTATAAAACTGACGTAACCCTTTGTCTGTGTTGCATTTCCTTTTAGTACAGGTGACATTTTGGAAGCTCTAGACAGTGAATAGTAAAATATTTATGAGCTAATAAACATGGGAACCTGGGTTCTCTCTGGTGTGAAAACTGAGAATGTGTGTTCATTAAAACATATAATCTATAAAGAGTTGTCCAGTAGATTTGCTAATAATTAGGAAAGGAAGTCAGTCAAATGCATGATCTCCTAAATTTCCTTTAACCTCCTGGATTCAGCATCAATAAGCAATATTAATTATAATATCTCCCATCAGATCATCTATCAGATAAAAGTAAATAGAACAAATTTTTATAATTATGCTTTTCTTCAGGAGTTAAAGTACAGTATTAATGCATTTGTTTTGCTAATTCACAACACACTACTAAGATTAAAGTCACTGAATATGGCAAACAAACAGAATCATTCAATAGCAGCCATTTTTTTTGTCTAATTTGCTTCACTGTAAATAATCGTGCCCAGCTGGGAAGCTGTGTGAGGAGACACAGAGGTGAGCTGCATGAGTGACAGTTACCCTCCCTTCATAAAGCACATGCACATCCACATGCAAAACCCAAACGATGCACCCACTAACAGAGACGATCACTCGTGCAGCACACCTCCCATCTCCATCGTCCTTTTTTAAGAGCTAAAACAAAATGAAAAGCTCTGCCTGGTTTAGAATCTGTGCGTACCACCGTCATACATACCCACGCAGCTGCTGGAGGTAAAATGGGATTAAAAAAACTTGTGTTTAGGTTTAATTTCTATTCCTCTGCATTTGATCAAGGGCAGAGGGGGAAAATTGACTGCAGAGTCCCGTTTTCCAGCCTCTTAGCCCTGTTAATTGTGCATCATCGACTTGGCTGCATTCAGGACTCCTGGGGTGTCCGTCTGCAAGTGTCACAATCACAGTCCCACTGGAGAGTGCCCACCCAAACACACACACAAACACACACGCTATGGTGAGATAGAGATGTTCTCATTCACACGCGCATTAAAGCCCACACCCTGAGGCCTGTGCCATTAGCAGATACTCCCTAACTGAATGTTTGCATCTGAAGTCAAAGGGCACTTTTAGAGAGGAAGAGCAGTGAGAGGATTTACCCGATGGCTGCTGGCCTAGATAGTAACTTCAGGCAGGACGTGTGGGTATGTCACTTCCATGGTTACGGGATAGGGGCCCTCCGTCCTCCCGTCAGCATGAAACTGGAAAATGTTTGTGTTTGTTGGGTTTTATTGCCGTTGTGCTTGGGTGGAGGGGTGCAGGCAGTGGGTGGGGGCACAGAGTCACGAGGACTTTTGTGTGGGAGTAACTTTTGGGGGAAGAGGGAACAGAGATAAACAAGGTTCTGATGATGGAGATGATGATGATGAAGGCACATGGACCGTCCCTAATGTTCTATTTTGTCATGTGGTGGATTTAACTTGGTTGCAGTGTGATGCAACAAAAGACTTTGGAGTTTTTTTTTCATGTATGTTGAATTTCTGCGCAGTCTTTTCTGATATGTTGAATTTCTGCGCAGTCTTTTCTGAGTTAGCAAAAAGACACAAAACGACAAGAAAGTGCACACATTTTCACTTGAAATCAAAGAGTTGGTACTGCAACTGCAAATAAAGGGTGGTATTTGTGGAAAATTAGTGAAAATGTGTATTTTTTCACACTTTAGTTGCGGGTCAGCTCCTGATGTGTTTGTAATTGCTCAGTCGTCACAGTCAGAACTGATTTTCTGACATCCTCAACCCCATCTCCCCTAAAGTCGTCTCACTTTTCTTACCCATTATAACTACTGGAGACTAAATCGAGGACACCTGTGAAGACTCAAGTTGAGAGAAAAATAGTTCTGCTAGAATCGAGAAACCTGGAGAACAATTTGAGACATTTTTAAAACTATATAATTTCAGAATCTGTCACCAAAAATCGTACCATACGGGCTAGATGATGGGAGTTTGCAGACAAACTAAGACATTTCAGCATCTTATAAAATCAAATCCTCCTCCTACAAATGTGTTTATGATTCTTGAAGGCCCCTCTTCTACAGATCTCTGAAAATAATAAGAACAGAGATTTTGAGCTCAAGAGTGAAAAGATTTTTCTGTTTGAAGCTTATGGAATAAATACAGTCTCACTAGAATAAGCTGTTTTAGACATTTGATTTATGACATTGAATTTGTAGTCTGTGAAATTATGTATTTGAATTTTTTTACTTAAAATAGTCCAGCAAAAACAATATCCATAAAAATTCAACAGTAAAAATTCAACAACAACTCAATCAAGTTAACGCCTCACTGGTGTCACAGGTTCAGAGACGTGTAATTTGATACGACTCCATCGAGTGACGATTACTTAGGCTTGGGTCACCAGGAGGTCACCTCAGTTGTTGAATTTTTGCTGATGTATTTTATGTAAAAAAAAAACAAATTATCCATCCATTTTCAGCCTCTCATCCAGAGTGGGTCGCAGGGGCAGCAGCCGAAGCAGAGAGGCGCCGACTTGCGCAGCAGGCAAGTGTTCGATCTACTCCGAGCCCTTCCCGGATGACAGAGCTTATATCTAGCATCCTACCTCTAAGGGAGAGCCCATCCACCCTGCGCAGAAAACTCATTTTGGCCACTTTCTTTCTTTTGGTCACTACCCAAAACTCATGACCATAGATGAGGGGAGGAACATACAGGTGCTGGCCAGTAAATTAGAATATCATCAAAAGGTTGAAAATATTTCAGTAATTCCATTCAAAACGTGAAACTTGTACATTATATTCATGCAATGCACACAGACCAATGTATTTCCAATGTTCATTACATTTAAATTTGATATTTATAGGTGACAACTAATGAAAACATCAAATCTGGTATCTCAGAAAATTAGAATATTCTAAAGGCCAATGAAAAAATGTTTGTTTCTCTAATGTTGGCCAACTGAAAAGAATGAACATGAAAAGAATGTGCATGTATAGCACTCAATACTTAGTCGGGGCTCCTTTTGCCTCAATAACTGCAGTAATGCGGCGTGGCATGGACTCGATCAGTCTGTGGCACTGCTCAGGTGTTATGAGAGCCCAGGTTGCTCTGATAGTCGTCTTCAGCTCCTCTGCATTGTTGGGTCTAGCGTATTGCATCCTCCGCTTCACAATACCCCATAGATTTTCTATGGGGTTAAGGTCAGGCGAGTTTGCTGGCCAATCAAGGACAGGGATACCATGGTCCTTGAACCAGGTGCTGGTGGTTTTGGCACTGTGTGCAGGTGCCAAGTCCTGTTGAAAGGTGAAGTCTGCATCCCCATAAAGTTGGTCAGCAGCAGGAAGCATGAAGTGCTCTAAAACTTCCTGGTAGACGGCTGCATTGACCCTGGACCTCAGGAAACAGAGTGGGCCAACACCGGCAGATGACATGGCACCCCACACCATCACTGACGGTGGAAACTTTACACTGGACCTCATGCAACGTGGATTCTGTGCTTCTCCGCTCTTCCTCCAGACTCTGGGTCCTTGATTTCCAAAGGAAATGCAGAACTTGCTTTCATCAGAAAACATAACTTTGGACCACTCAGCATCAGTCCAGTCCTTTTTGTCCTTGGCCCAGGCGAGACGCTTCTTGCGCTGTTTCTTGTTCAAGAGTGGCTTGACACACGGAATGCGACACCTGAATCCCATGTCTTTCATGAGTCTCCTCGTGGTGGTTCTTGAAGCGCTGACTCCAGCTGCAGTCCACTCTTTGTGGATCTCCCCCACATTTTTGAATGGGTTTGTCGTCACAATTCTCTGCAGGGTGCGGTTATCCCTAGAGCTTGTACACTTTTTTCTACCACATTTTTTCCGTCCCTTCGCCTGTCTGTTAATGTGCTTGGACACAGAGCTCTGCGAACAGCCAGCTTCTTTAGCAATCACCTTTTGTGTCTTGCCCTCCTTGTGCAAGGTGTCAATGATTGTCTTTTGGACAGCTGTTAAGTCAGAAGTCTTCCCCATGATTGTGGTGCCTTCAAAACAAGACTGAGGGACCTTTTAAAGGCCTTTGCAGGTGTTTTGAGTAAATCAGCTGATTAGAGTGGCAGCAGGTGTCTTCTATATTCAGCCTTTTCAGAATATTCTAATTTTTTGAGATACCAAATTTGGAGTTTTCATTAGTTGTCACTTATGAATATCAAATTTAAATGTAATGAACATTGGAAATACATTGGTCTGTGTGCATTGCATGAATATAATGTACAAGTTTCACGTTTTGAATGGAATTACTGAAATATTTTCAACCTTTTGATGATATTCTAATTTACTGGCCAGCACCTGTAGATCGACCGGTAAATCGAGAGCTTCACCTTCTGGCTGAGCTCTCTCTTCACCACGAGATACCGGTACAACGCCCGCATCACTGCAGACGTAGCAACAATCCGCCTATCGATCTCACGCTCCATCTTTCCCCCACTCATGAACTAGACCCAGAGATACTTAAAACTACATCCCTGATCCAGAAAAAAATTCAAATCCATTATTTCAAAGAATAAAATTCAATGTCTAAAAAAATCTTACTCTGGTGAGTCTATTTGTTCCATAGAAGCTGTCAGTCTTTTTGTTTTTCATCTGCTCCAAAGTGCTCTGTAGACTCTGTGGCTCCACTCCTTCCTCAGTTTGAATTTGATGTAAAAACAATCAGAATGTATTTCAGTTTTACAAAATCGGAAGACAAAGAAAGTTAAAGGCTTCAAGTGAAGCCAGCTTTTTTTTTTTTACTGTACTTTCTTAAAAAGCAGGAACTGTGTTTCTGATTTTGAGTATAAGCTGTATCTGGATCAGCTCTTTTACTAATGCTAATTAATCCTTGTTTGAGCGTGCTAAAGCATCAGTGGCAATAGGGTCAGGGTTAGGACGGAGTTTGGTACCTAACAGGCTCTAAGGATCGTGGCGATGATAAAACCTTTACAAAGAGGTTGTTTATTCTCCTTTTATGAGCATCATTTTACTACATATCTGCATCCTTTTGACTTTGGGTGAAATCAGCTCGGACAAGTCAAAGAGTATGGAGCTAGGATTGGGAAAATATTCCATGTGACTTGTACCAAGTTTTGTAACCTGTAACATGTTTTGTAACATGTAATTCACATTTTGTAACACATAACATTCATTTTGTAACAACATGTAATTCTTGTTTTGTAACACGTAACTTTCATTACAAGAGTTGTGAGTTGAAACTTGTACATTGATTTTTCCCCCTGCCAGTTACAAAGTAAAAGTTTCATGTTACTTACTGAAAGTTACATGTCATAAAATGAGACTTACGTGCTACAAAACAAGTTATGTGTCATAAAACAAGAATTATGTGTTACAAAATGAAAGTTACACGTTACAAAATGTGAATTACATGCTACAAAATGAAAATTAAAGTTACAAAACATGTTTAAGTTACATGCAATGTTGTACCAATCCTAGCTCCATAATAGAGCCGATTCAGACAGTGAAAGTAAAATCCTCCTAAAAATTACAGTTAGCGTTGCCCGCTCAATCTGTTTTCAGTGTTGAATTTATTTCCTACTGACAGAAAACAATTACATGCCGCGTTCTGGAAGGATCTGGCCGCACTTGGACGGATTTCTCTGAGAGAAAGATTGGGAACAAACATTTCTATTACAGCAGAGAAATGACGGTTGTTCAATCATGTCAGCGTGCAGAAGAACCGGGCTTCGTGTTTAAATCCATCCTTTTTCTCAAGGGCTGTCATCTTTTAAAAAACCCAGTGTGTGTGTGTGTGTGTGTGTGTGTGTGTGTGTGTGTGTGTGTGTGTGTGTGTGTGTGTGTGTGTGTGTGTGTTGTGGGAGTGACATCAGAAACAAATACAAAATAATACGTTTTTATAAGATTATCTAACTTTTGTCTTTGTCTAATGAATTCATGATTAATGTTGAGTTTTAGAAACAATTTAATCAAAATAAAACTTTTAACAAAACCCTACTAAAGATCTTTTTCAAACTTCCTCATTTTATCATCTGAAGTTGATGCTAGCAGTTTAAGTTGCCAAAATAGCGCTCACAATAAACAAATAAAAAAAAAGTCTGCATTAATTGAAAAATCTTTATTTCTTCTCATGTTCAACAGACATGAATGGGTGCAGAGAGGAAGGAGAAAGCAAGCTTTTGTCCCTGCAGACTTTGTCTGTCCCATCGGAGTTTTTTATTCTCAGGTCTCTTTCCCTGGAACATTATTCTTCCAACTTTGCAAATCAAACAAACCTGTGCTCCATCATGCAGGAAAAATTACCTATAAAAACATGATGTTCGATATTTTACCTTAACTACAGCTTAGTTTACACTAGACTATTTTAAAAAAGCACACAGTTTGTTTATTTGCACTGGTTTGGTTTTTAGGTACCACTTCAGGAAAAGACTCCTTTTATTAACATTACTTAGTTCATTGTTGAGCATTAATAAACTATTAAATAAAGTATTAGCAACGGCATATTATGTAACGCATTACTAAGCAGACACCCCCTCCATAGCAACAAAGTGTAGTTTTACTATTAATCTCTGGAAACATCCATTGAAATATTGTTGAAAAAGAGTTAAATGATGCCCAGTGTTTGAAAATTATTGGCAGCTCATAATCAGGTCTAGAATAGGTAACATGAGCACGGGTCTAAGTTTCTAGGCGACGTCATATTAGACGCCATGTTTCCTTCTACGGGAGCCCGTGAGGACAAAATGCATTTATTCATTTGTAACAAGATTTTACAAAACTTTCACCATTCATAAACGTTGTTGTTTTACACATTTAACTCTTCAACCGTTGCCAGTGATGAAAGGGAGTCTGATGTTCTTGTCATTTTGCTGGAGGTTGAACGATTTGACGGAGTACTCATTCGAAATGTGCGCTCCTGGGGATTTTTGGCCCTAATAGCCTTCTGTTGGTAAGGTCTTACTCGGACACAAGAATACAGTTTGCTTGCAATGATTTAGATATGTACTGCCCCCTATCGACAGGGAAAATACACACTGTCACTTTAAGGACACTTTATAGCAGGGCTATTCAGCTCCAGGCCAGCATGTTTTAGTGGTTTCTCTGGTCCAACACATTTGATTGCATGGATGAATCACCTGTGCAGCAGCTCATCAGGTTCTGTTAATCACCTCCTGATTGAAATCAGGTGTGTTGAAGCAGGGTTAAAACCAAAATGTGTTGGATACCGGCTCTCAAGACCCAGAATTGAAAGTCCTGCTTTATAGTAAATAAATAACGGTAACGTTAATAAAAGGATCCTTTGTTTATTAATGCTTAATAATGCACTAAGTAACGTTAAAGGGTCCCTTTCTGTAAAGTATTACTGATTTTTATAACACAATAGAAGGGTTGCTCTAATGTTATTTTTGTGTCATTAATAGACATTTTAAGCACATATACACAGCAGTTCAGTGTTTCTATGATGAATTTCCTCATGTGGTTATTATCTGTTTGTACTCCGCTTTCAGAAGGTCCCATATAGTTAAATCTGACTTTTGAATATGTTGCTTATTTAGGAATTTGAATCATGAAGAAAAAAAATCTGCTAATTCTAAGTCATACGGGTTTGTTTTGTAATCTCAGCAGAAACTTTAAGTTTGTTTATTTAAATTTGTCAGAGAGAGCTTTCAGCTTTATGTGTTTTCGTTTTCCTGCATTTTTCAGCTCATTTATGCATTTATTCACTCAGGAAGTTGGAGTGAGGCTTGGATCGATCCACTGATACTTGAGAGGGGTGACTGACAGGGCCACAGGAACAATGAGAGAGCTGTTTGGGAGGGTGACAAGGGGTCGGGACTATCTGACATTTGAAATTTGGTCTTACCTCGCAGTCGGACTCCTCTTTGGTCTTACACTCCCAGGTGTATCTGCTCATGGTTTTCTGAGGGGAGGGGGATGGGGCACAAGGGTTATACTCCTCAAAAACCACACAAGACATCCTCAGAGAAAGACAGATATGGATAGCAAGAGAAAGAGAGAGAGAGAGAGAGAGAGAGAGAGAGAGAGAGAGAGAGAGAGAGAGAGAGAGAGAGAGAGAGAGAGAAGAGCACAAAGTGGACGAAGAGAAAGATCAGAGGTGATACAAAGAGACTGAGAGGCAAACAGGAAGAGACAGTGATAAAACAGACAGAGAGACGGAGTTTTGGAGACAGAAACCAATAGTCGGAGGGACTCCACTTCCTTTTGGATGTCATCAGATATTCCCAGCTGGTTACAGACTGTTTAACCAGAGTCTTTGCTGCTGTTTGCTTCACAGCTCAGGTTTGGATGATCCTGAGGAGAACCTCAGCCATAGCTGCTCAGGTCTGTTAGTTTAGAAATGAGTTGAGGCTTTTAGTCTCATTAACTGTGTAATCAGGGATTAATGATGTAGTTAATTCTAGTGTAAGGATGTCTCTTGTGAGTTTGGGGTTAATCTGGATTGAATAGCTAGCTGATGCTAAATTCACAGAGAGAATATTAAACAACAACGCTGAGAAAAGTCTTCAATTTAAGGATTTAACTTTGAAATCCAGTTTTCATCCAGTCTGCAAAAATCATGAAAAAAGTATAAAATTAGAACTTTGTTTTAGTTTTTTAAAGAATATTAGATTTTAAAGGTGCAGAGTTTTTTTTTGTTTGTAGATTTTGTCATAAATTCACATCAAACCACTTCTGACCTTAAATCATCGCACCAGGATTAGTACCTTCATTAGAAACCTACCATATCCAGTCCCATACATGTCTGTTGCCCCCTGGTGAAGAATCTACAGATGATGAGTAACCAGTGAGTAAATCCTGCATTAGGTGATTTTCTGGCACATACAATTTTAGGGCCAATATAACTAACTGTTAGTGTGAAAACTGGTACCAAAAATACTTAATTTTGTGCAATGCTGGGTCAAAAGCTTCTGCACAATGTTCATCCACCAGAAAAATAAATAAAACACAATTTAGCAGCAGATATTTCTTAATCACTTGGAATTTTATCACATACTATTCAATCAAGTGTTAGATATTTTACAGATGTTTTTAAGTAATGATGACTTGATTTCATGTTTTTTGAGGGTTTTATGCATGTCAGGATGAAAATGGCTTGTAATGAATTGGTGGGACTTGTTTGCATGTAAACAAAGGGTGTTTCTCAATGCCAAGGAACCTGCCCTTAATGTCTTGGCCCCGCCCCGATTGCCTAGGAGATACGTCATCAGGAGCCCCCGAGACGTTTTCCAGTGTTCATGTTCTACCGAGGCGTCAGTTCTCAGTTTATTAGCCGTTTAGCTAGCTGAGCAAGGATACACGGGAGGTGTCTTGTAGCCTAGCCTTGGTCAAAAATTACCCAGAACACACCGCGGTATATTCAAAAGGATGGTGGATCAGAAGCTGGCAGCTACTTCGGGGACAATTTTCAAATTTAAAAGTAAGTCAACTAATTTAAATTTTTTTTTATCCAAACAAGTTATCTATTGTTGGTTAGTTGCTTAGTAGTTGTAGCTTGTAGGTGGCTAGCAGGATGTAACTTGCTTATATATTTTATTTAACAAATATGTACAGAATTTAAAAAGTAAAAGTCTTGTTTTATATTTATATTGAAACGTAAACATATAAAATATAATGTTGTCTACCGTGTCATGTGATGTTGAGTGACCACCGTGGAAACCACAGTCATGTGATGCACATCTGTTCCATTTAACTATGTTCTTTGACCAAGGAAGGACAGTGTCCTCGTAAGTCAGGCGCCTGGCCTCGCAAGACATCGCCTCGCAGGGCCAGGTGCCTTGACACTGAGAAACACCCAAAGTAAATGTTAAATTGGTTAACAGAAAAAAACAATTTCTTCTTTTAGTTTAAAAGGTGAACAAAACTACTGATGGAGTTGTTAGAGGGTGGTACTGCACCTTAAAAATAGTTCAAATTAAACAGAAAAGTTCTGGCTGTAGCACTACGGTAACACATGCTGCTACAACCTTGGTGTTAGCGCTACCAGCTACCCATGCTTTGGTTAGTGAGGCACCCATCTGCTCTCTGCTGCCACCTTTAGGCTGCAGCATCACATTGCATCTCAGATGTTTATCCTGATAACAGCTTGCTGCAGAACAGTTCAACAGAACAGAACATAACAGTTTAAGCTTACCTGTTGTGACATCAGTCACACCTTGATTGTTTTTCATTTTCACAACTTTTTTCAGGATAAACAAGTCGTCAAGACGTAAAAAAGTAAAGAAACAAACATTAAAGCCAAGCCGCAGCAGCTCACACAGCCACCAGGGGGCTTGTACTAGCAGGAGACGTACAGATGCAAAGAGGTGATCAGAGAGAGCAGGTTAGGAGAGTGGGTGGGTGGAGGGGTCACAGCGAGGTGTTTTCTCTTAAAACGATCAGATTGAAGCGACACTAAATACTTTCCCACTTCTCCCTCCTACTGGTTGAAAGCAGAATTAAAACTGTTGTAAACAAACCGCAGACCAGGGAAGCTGGGTTCTGGGTCGAAACCAGCTCAGAACCACCTGTCCCAACCTCCAAAAGGGGATGGCAGGGTTTTAAAAATTCCTATAGTGGGCCAGGGAAGCTGGTTTCTGGGTTGGGTCCAAGTCCAAACTTCCTGCCCTGAATAGGATGACAGGCTTCTCTCTCTCTCTCCAAAATGCTAAGCTACATTACGTGAATGGATTTAACTAGTATGAAACAGCCGACAAACACTTATTATAATTTCTTATTGTCAAGAATCAATATATTACCTGATCAATAGTATTTTAATTGTCTGGTATATGACAGTAATCTGCACAATATTGTGATGTTAGCACACGAGTTTAAGCTAGCTAGCATTGTTTACTCACCGAGACACCACAGCTCATTCTGTCTCCTTTGGCCATTGTTTCTCCCTCTTGCTTGTCTCTTCTCTCCGGGGTGTACATCAGGCTCATAACAGTATGGTTGTGGTCCACCATAATTTTATTTAGTTTTCCCTCTTTCAGAGCCGGCATTAAAATCCATATTTTTCTTTAGACTCTCTTTGCCTACATCACTTCTGCTTTGGCAGAAAAATATTTTTCTCACAAAAATGACTCTCAAAGCCTAAATAATTTATGTATGTGTACAATGTTATTTAGAATGAGTTCCTGTTGTTTCTCTGTGTATTTGTTCAAAGGAGGTTCAAACCTGCAATACGCTCCTTTAACTTATACTTTCATGTAAAAAAAACTGCAAAAACATCATGTTTTGATATATTTCTTCATGTTTAAAGACAGTTAACATCAGATTGTATTTGAGCTGTTCAGATCTTAAAATCTGAAGGTGATTTGTTGACCTTTATTTGTTTTATTTATCTCTGAGGAACTGATATTGATGAAAATGTTCGCTTTTCTCACTAAGGATGCTTTAAATAAAGTTAGTTTGGGCATCTAAATTATATTTTTATAGACAGATTTCTAATAAAGACATTTTAAATACGCAGTCACAACCAAGATGGTAGCTTTAGTAGCTCATTAAGGCTTTTTAGTGAACCAAGTAAAAATATGTATTTAAAAAAGGATGTAAAAGCACATCTTTGTCCAACTAAATACCCTTAATTTTTATTACTTATCTAAAATACAAATTGTCATATAAAAAGATAGATTTGTCAGGAATCAGGAAACATAACAAGGCATGTCACACTTCCACATAAATCTAGAGACAGAATTGTTTGAGAATTAACTCATAGTTCATAGATTTTAAATATCAGTAAAGCTCGTGCCCACTTGAATTTGGAGTTTCACTTTTGAGCAAACCTTTTATCCATCCTCGCTCCTGGACCCCGCCCACCCCCTCCTTCAGCGTTTACCAACTCAGAGCATCAGAATACTCATGCCCATGCATTTGGAGGGGAGTCGAGGGCCCGGGCAGGATTTGGGGTGGGGGTGGGGTGGGGGGATGCAGAAAAGGGGTGAGAGAGAGAGGCGAGAACCACGTTACCTGACAGATAATGTTATCATAGTAAGCCAATGCACGGGCATGAGGGACGTTAGGAGGGGTGTCGCACAGTTTCCTTACATTTGGGTGGGAGCCCTCAGCGATGGTGGACAGCGAGAAATTATCATTGTGCTGCTCCGATGAAGGCCGGTACTTACTGCTGGGCATCGTGGGATGGACGGGGTGGGAAAGGGGGGAGGGAGAAGAAAGGAGAAGAAAGAGAGGAAGATTTAGAGAGCAGATCAGTGAAGATGAAATGATGAAAATACAGGGAGGTTGGAAAAGAGGTTCACTCATAAAAGTGAAGGAGGAAGGAATGAACGAGAGGGGAAAGAAGTGGAAGGAAATAAATAGTAGGGATGAAATGATAGAAAATTGGAGCAATTGAGAAATTGAAGATGATCAGAAGAGTAAATGTTTGTCATGAAGAGAGAAGAAATAATTTAGCAAAAGGTCACATAAGAAGGAGGGATCCTCAGAGAAAAACAAAAGGGGAGAGAAAAGCAAGAGCAGCATTAGTTAGACAGCAGGACAGAATAAATAAACATTTATCTGTGATGCAAAAACAAAAATGAAACCTGGTTTTTAATGTTTAAGCAGCGTTTTATTTCTATTCCCATCAGAAACTCGGAAGATGTTCAAACAGGTGCAGAAGAAGATAGTTTCCTTTGATCTCGTCTGAGGAAACACATTTCAGGAGTTCTTTTCTGAAATGTGTCCTCCTAGTGTCCAAGTAATGTCCCCCTAGTGTCCTCTTAACATCCCAATAGTGTCCTCCTATAGTTTCTCCTTAATAAACTCTTAATGTCACATGAGTTTCTTCTTAGTGTCCCCCTGGTGTCATCCTAGTGTCCCCTTAGTGTCCTCTTTGTGTCCCCTTAGTTTCCTAAAATCCTCCTTGTGTCCTTCTGTTTGTCTCACCCCAGCTTTCCACTGGCTGTGTAAGCGGTACATAACGTAAGCGGTGCGTAACATAATACACGCATTTCAGCCACGAGCCCACCAAAAGTGTTTGAGTGAAAAAACGGCAGGGAAAGTGTTCTGTGGGTTAGCGTTAGGTGGTCCGGTGAGGTCACAGAATGACCAGAAAATTGCAAAACCCAGCGTGACTTCAGCAGTTCACGTGATAACAAGCAAGGAGAAAGACAACATCATGTATCCAAGAAGATCTCTGGTTGATTTTCTGTTCTGTTTACCTCAATGACAAAGGGTTCACGGATAATGTATAGCTAGTTAAGCAGGTGGATTTCTGATTGTGACTTTTATTTTGAAAGTTTTCTGAAGTTTTACTCTGCTTTCTTGTTTGACTTCCTGTCTGGCCCGATCTAAACTGCTGAACTTGACATGTTTTGGAAGCATGGTGTGTAAAAATAGATTTGGCGTGTAACCAAAGTGTCCCTGTACTTCTGGGAAGCTTTGCGGACGGTGGAAACGCACACATTAACTGTAACAGCGACTAATTGCTGTGTACTACAATTCACGGCCGTTACGCTATGCTTATGTGTCCAGTAGAAAGGCATGGTCTGAGCACAAAACAGACAACTTGGGTTATCCTGTATCTCATCTTTCATCATTTGCACTACTCATGTTCTCCACTAGGGGTAGTATGCAGGTTTTTGAGGAACGTACGAATCCTCTCACAGAGGTAGAAGCCTTATCCTATGAAAAGATCTAAATGTGTTGGTGTGAACGAGTCAAGTGTTTCATTTACACGAGTCTTCATTCAGTCTAAAACTGGTCCAAAATCATCATCTTGTTTGATTTTAGTCAGAAGATAACGTTTCTACTTTGAGGTCAGTAGTTAGTTAACCCAACAGAAGCTCCTGAGAAGCTTTGAACATCAGATTAATTACTCTCTGGGCCGTGTTTAGTAACAGAGATATCAGGTTTGATTTGTTTTTGTTTCATTTCTGGTCGATTAGCCTTTGACCAGAATGGATCCAGCAGGGCCAACAGCAGCAATCACTCACACACTCACTGATGCTAAAAACTGGGGATTCATTCTGAATAAATGAACCAGCATTGGATCAGAAGGATCACATCCTCCACAGCTCCGCTTCCTTTCCATCTTTGACCAGGATGCTGTCTGATCCCGACGGCGGTGCAGAAACTCACAGCAGATGGGGAGTGTGGGAGTCATTTTCAGCACCATGCACACTTCTCTAAATGTGTCATGCTGAGTTTTTTTCTCTCTGAAGCCAAAAATCTGCACAATTTTACTCATCTTTCTCTTTCTTTATCACTCCCAAATCCTCTCCTGTTTCATCCCGTTCTCCTTTTCCTAATCTGCTGTGCTCCATTTCCTCCTCCTTCTCGCTCCTCATCGATTTCTTTAAGCCGACCACTTGATGAGGCAGTGTTTACTCATTTATGCTGCACCCCGCTGCTCACACCCCTCAGGTTGCACAGCTGTATGTAGGTCAACCCCACCTCCGCCCATTTCTCGCTCCCCCCCCCCTCCTCCTGTTCAGACTGCCCTACTTTCAGCTGGATCCAGAGCCCTGATGACATCACCCTTTTCTCTGCTTTGAATTTTTTTTTCTGCAAGCCAGCATTCCAGCTGCTGTTCACTGCACCACATATTTCCTCCTGAACATCATCTCTAATCTCCACCATGACTAGCATCACATCCCTCCCCGTGGAGCTAAAAATAAATCCTGCAGCGTGGGAGCTGGTGATGAGGTCTCGGTCCTCAGGTTCACATTTGCATCCAAGGTGCTCCATCGCCGCGTGCTGCTCATCTACAACAGCTTTGTTGCTATGGAGATCGCCCTAAAAACGTGGGCACTGGCAAAGCAAAACCCCCACCCACACACTCCTATTTTATATTCAATCCTGCCCTTCACTCAGTCACTCTCCTTCACTTTCTGCTCCATCCACCTCCCTCTGACAGTGCTTTTCTTTGTGAGGTATTTAGCATAAAGATGTGGATGATTCCTGCAAAGCTTCTGTGGTGACAGAACAATAGCACTGTTTTTGAAGTTGTTGCAAACTAACCTGACTGAACAAATAAGTAATAAATATATTTTCTGTTTCCTTTTTGTAAAACATTAACCTGCAGCATGTTGGATTTAAATGGGAAAAAGTAAGCAAAGAAACTTTTTGGCGCCTCAAGATTGCAAATATTTTCAATATGAAGCTATTTAAAGCTCTCATTCATGCATTATTTCATGACATCTGCTCTCTCCAGTTCAATTCAATGCATTGTGAGTCAATTTCTGTGGTGACTAATGGCACTCCTGTTTCAGGAATTGGAAGTTAGTTAGATGAGAGAAAAGCTGAAGACGGCAGGATTTGGAGACTTGTTTCATGAAATTTGGGCATCTCACCTTTGATTGGCTAACAGCAACATGACTCTGTTTGCTTTGCAACATTGATGTTTCATCTTCACAAATAACACAAGCCTGGTGGAGTTTTGCTGTGTGGTGGAGTCGCTAATGCTAACATTTAGCCTCTACTAGCCGAGACGTGCTCTGCTCTCTCCTGGAGGCTAAATCAACAACAGCCTTCCCTGTTGCGAGCCAAGATGGGTGAGTCCATGAATGCTAATTTAAGTGTGTCAAATAGTTCTGACTGTCTGTTCTAAGTGTTTCCCAGTCTATTTTCTATCAGTACTGAGCCAGGATCCTCTGGAGGTTTCTTCCTGTTAAAAGGGAGTTTTCCTCTCCGCTGTCGCTGCATGCTTGCTTAGTATGGGGATTGCTGTAAAGTCACTGACACTAGTCAGTGATTTGATGCAATCTGCTGGGTTCCTTATATAGGAAACATTTTACTGATTGGCTTAATGAACTGACCTGTATTGGAATGTTTACTCTGTGATGTGTCTTGAGACGACTCTTGTCGTGATTTGGCGCTAAATAAATAAACTTGAATTGAATTGAATCAGTGGCTATTGCAGAAAATAGGGGTAGAAGACCATTTTCATGTTCAGCCTGCATGTAAAACTGCAAAAAATAACAAGTAAAAGACTTTTTCTCAGTTAACTTGCTTTATAAACTTTAACTTATTAGATTGTTTGGTAAATTTAGTAGAAATATACACTGTAGTGTAAAGCGCTTTGGAGTCCTTACTCTGAGAGGCGCTATACAAGTGCGGGTCACTTATCATTTATCATTAAGAAACACCAGGATATGTGATTTAGGACTTCCTTTTATGTGCTTTTGGGTCACCTGTTAGGAATCTCTGTGTTATAGTTTAAGATGAGGGTTTTCAGCAGGTTTTTTGCTCTGTATAATGTGTCTACTGTGGCTATCAGCATCATTATGTGTAATATTATGGTTGCAAAGGATCAGGAAATATCTAAAACTATTAAACTGCTGTTCAAATGAGATCATTTGTAAATCAAAAGTGTGCTTTTCTTCAAAAACCCCAACAACCAATAGAGCAATTTCATGTTTTTAAAGAAACGCCGCTGATCCTCGCCAGTGCCTCACCTGCGCTTGCGTAACTTTTTGTTCTCCGTCTTGAGCACGTGGAGCTTCTTGGCGAAGCAGACAATGATCATGAAGAGCAGCAAGAGCACCAGCGCCGAGGCACCAATGGCCAGACACATCACCTGGAACTCGGTCACCACGGACTCACAGCGAGCGCCCTTGTGCCAGATGTAATCCTGGATGTTGCACCTGAGAGAAGGGAGATTGTTGAAATGTGGCAGATCAAAGTCTATCCTGAATGCAACCAGCTGAGTAATGAGGTCCACCCTGAGACGACCACTGCAGAATGGTCTGGAACTCAAATTGAAGATGCTAAGCTAACTAAAGTGCATAATCCCTTGAGCCGCCTTTAGAGGAGATCAGCAATCAAAACCCAAAACATATGCAAAATAAAAATAAAACTTTATAGAACGAGAACAAAAGTAAAAAAAAAAAAAGTTTTGCTGTAAAGTTTGATATGACTTTGAGTTTTGTTTAATTAGTTCCCAAGAATTACATTTTCCATCACTGCATAATAAAAAAAATCTAATTGCAGACATGTCAATGCAATAGCTCCCTATTTTATTAATTAAAATTTAAATCTTCATTTGAGTAACATGTTTTGGTAACACTTTACAATAAGGGTCCCTTTATTAATGTGACATTTTAAGCATTATTATACTATTAAATAAAGTATTAAAAACTGCTTAACCGTATTAAGTAATGCATTACTAAGCAGGCCCCGCCCCCCTGTCCTAAACTCAGAGGCAGTTTTGTTTGCTTTTAGCACCCCCTAGTGTCTGTTTGTAGAAAAGAAAACAAAAACTATCTCCTCGCTGTGCGTTCATCGTTTTAACAGCTTAATCTAACAGCTGAAATGTTTCCCAGCATTCATTAGTTTCTACAGGAGTGAATCATCACTAAATTAAACAAATCAGCTGTGTTCATGATCTAAAACATGCAGGAAACGTGCTGGAAGCAGAATGCAGCACCAGGTATGTCAGTCCAACAGACCGAACCGGTGTCTCGGTACAGGATCTGCTCGGGTACATGATCTGCTTGGGATCCTTCGACTGCTGATGACGTCACATTACTGCAAATCTACTCGGCTTTCACACATACGTTTTGGAAAGACATCAGCAGTTTTGTTAATAAATTCTTGTTTGTAAACACCTAAATGTTTTCTTTATAATTGTAATTTGTCAATAAAACACCATATTATCTTGTTTTGTAAAGAATGTGAAACTGCATAAAACCAACATCGGACTGACAAAACATAGCACAGTTCTTATATGTGAAGCCACATCTGTTTGTATTAATGTGGAGTTCGTTTGTATTTCCTTAGTTGTTCTCTAAATACATTCTTTGACTCAAAATATTGCTTGGTGTCTTTCAATAAAGTTCTTATATTTCATTTTGCCCCATTTCATCAACATCAAGAGCTTTTGAGGGTCACCGTTTATCATTTGCTTATATTTTACATTTCCTTTAGAAATTCAAACATATTTTCTCCAAAAAGTGTTGAAATTTGTTCTGACCAATCAAAATCATAACGTGATAACGTAACTTCCGTAAGCTGCATGTTCAGCCAATCAACTACTTTGACATCATCGGCAGTCGAAGGACCCCGAGCCGATCCTATACCTGAGCAGATCCTGTACCGACACCGGTTCGGTCTGTTGGACTGACATACCTGGTGCTGCTGACACCGGCAACTCTGAAGTTGCAAGTGGAACCTTCTGGCCACAGGGGGCCACAGGTGGCTTTTCATTAACCCTGTAATGGTTCATTTTAGTACATTCTGGCTCAAGAACATGATTTAAAAATATAAAAAAGTTGCAAAGTATCTTTTTAAATGCACTTAATAGTTAACAATATTGATCATGTTAATAAAGAGACCCTTTGTTTGTTAATGATTAATAATGCACTAACATTAATAAAGGGAGCCATTTTAGTAAATTGTTATCCAGGTTTTAAATGCAACGTGCTTTGCATTATATAAAATGCAATAATAAGGGCAGAACATGAAAACATCCAATAACAACAAGCAATGCAAAAACATTAAAACTATGTAAATGTATGTGGGGTTTTCAGTTGTGGTTTAAATTAAATGTTTTTCTTGCTTTTTTTATAAAAATCTTTAACTGCTTTGATGTGAAATTTTAAAAAGATGTTTAACAAAAACGTTACATAAATCCTGCTGGGAGGTTAATTGCTGCAGGAGCATCAGTTTCTAGCTTCTGAGTGAAACTTTGTTCAGAAAATATGACGTCTGAAAAAGAGAAACAGCCTGGGGTGAATTCTCCCGTCTGTCCACGCTGGACCCAAATGGACATACAGTCTTTCACAGACAGAAGAGACTCTTTGAAGAAGATTTAACGCATTGCTTATGTGGAAACACACACACACACACACACGCACACATAGAGCCACCATCTGAGTCCCATGCTTCTTTTATAATCGTCTGGCAGAATACAGACAGAGCCCGCCTGGGGACAGAAACCACACAGGCAGATGGGTTTGTCTACAAACTGTTTGGAGTGTAAAATGGAACATTTCTCTCGGGCCCTAATGAGACGATAGAGCTGCAGAGTGACTCAACCAGACTGGAACATGAGCTGGAGCATGTGAGTTTAGTCATGGAGCATCGCGAACTGACACCCCTAACAGGACAGGATCGAACCGTTGAGATCATCATGAGAAGATCAGAATAAATAAAACCGAAGCATCTCAACTAAACTTCCATTAATTTGGAGACTTTCTATGAACATTTACATTAAACCTACCAGAAGCACTAAAAACATCATATTTCTTCCCTCAGAAAATGGTTTTGTTGAAAACTACATGCTATAATTATTCATAGATACGATGAGGTTTAAGTATGAGGTTGCCACGGCAATCAGCAGAGATGCTGAACAGAAGTGCTGAGTAGACAGAGGCACTCATTAAGAGGTATTATCGGCCTGAAACAAGTGGTGCAAAATGTGTATTTGCAGGCTAATTAGAAGATATGATGATTAAAATCATGAAGACTAATTTTCCCCTGCTTCCGGTCATTATGATAAACTAAGCTGAATCTTGCAGTTTCAACCTTGTGCACTGTATAGAGTTGAGAAATATCTAGAAAAAGGCAATAAAGTATAATTTAATCCACTTCTAGTTATATTATTCTTAACAAAACCTTTAAATCAACATTAGCAGGATCACATGCAGGGTTTTCTGCACATTAGGATTAAACATGGGTGATAATATCTGGAGGTTGTAGGACAATTTCATATCCATAAAGAAACAGTTTTTCAGATTTTAATATCTATGATAACTTTTGAATGAAAGTTGACTAAAATCGGCACAGAGAAAAAACATCTTAGAGGTTTATTTTTAGGGTTAATCTAAAAAATTTTGTAAGACACTGAAAGAGCAGAGGCGGAATTCTACTGTTTCTTTAAGAATTTCCTAAATATGCCATCTGAGATTAAATTAAGTGTCGAACAAAAACCACTGAATATTTTTTAAAAGCTCAAATTTTTCTGAATTTAAACAAAAAATTTACAGTCACAAAACCAGCAAGTCAATCAGGTAGCAAAAAAAGACTTTTCTCTCTGCTCTTGAACAAAACTTAACTAGACTTATATGAAAAAAAAGGCTAATTCAACTTTAATTTAATGCGAACAAATTTCATGCAGACAGAACGGCAGTGAGATTCACTGATGTGTTAAAAGATGGGCATTTAGGCAGATTTGTGCAGGAATAACAATTAAGAACCAACAGCGTTTTGTGGGAGAAAATGGGATTCTAATTGTTCTGGAAATGAAACTGTTTTAATCGCACAACAAAAGGACAATTCCAGGCTGTTGCTGCAGTGATGTCACAGCAAAATGATAATAGAAAACAAGTGAAAGTCTGAGCAATTCATTTCATGTTCACACGCACTTATGTGAGGTGAACAGGGTTGCGGCTGTGCGGACGCTGCTGGCTCTTTGCTCTCCATGCTAAGCAGGTTTCCTTTCAAAGGTTGATTTTCTGAATTCTGCCTGAAACCGTTTTAATTTGCCAGCTGAGAGGAAGAGCTGGCGGCCAGCCAGGAGACGTTTTGAGCGTGGGCTTGTGTGAGAAGGAGAGAAAAACTGATGAAGCCTGATATCACATTTTGAAGGAGACATCGGCGCACTCAACCTCTGAGTGACTCTAAGTTTGTACAAAGGAGAGGTTTATGTAAGTCAGAGGGAGATGGAGGGGGAGGCGAGGGAGAGAGAGAGGAGGGGGAGGGATGGAAGTGAAAGGATGCAGAAAAGGAAGGAGATGAACGAGGATGTGCTGGTCGCCATGGCAACGTTTAGCTGAGCCACAAACGCAGCAGAAGCAGAGTAGGCATGTCGTGCCATCAGAGGCTAGAAAACACACACACACACACACACACACACACACACACACACACACACACACACACACACCATCTCTAACATCCTCCCTTTTCACGTGGAGCAGGTCCAGCTGAATCATGTCTCGCTTTTATGTCCTTCTTGTAAATAAAGAGAATTAAACGTCCGTACTAGCGGGTCATCCACGAGCTGGAGCACTTTTTAGACCCTAGCGGGCACTGATCCTCTCGCCTACTGTCAAAGTTTTGTTTTATTTTGTTTTATTTTGATCAACTGCTCGTCTGACGTTTCCTTGATTATCCACGTTTTACTGATTTCCTGCTATATGAGCATCCACGTGTTGTTTTTCATTAAGGTCTCTCAGTTGTTTTTGTGGGATCAAATAGAAACAGGACGACTCCGTTCGTTAGGATTGTCGTAACCGGCGTGGAAAGTTGTGAAAACACTTTGGATGCTGATCTAATTTTAGCTGAGAACAGTCTTCAGGAACCCCCCCGAACTCAGCCGTATTTAGTGAAAATTAAATTAGAAGCAACTTCTCATTACAGATGGAAAAAATGTAAACCAGCACAAAGGCTTCAGATTCTTCTGTGGGTGAGATGAGACAGCCATCACCACTCTGTCCCAGTTACAAACGTCCCATCAAAACCCAAACGCATCATTTCTTCTGTTACTGTGGTTCGCTGCAGCCACATGTGGAGAAACATCACAGCCTGTCAGAAATGAGTTCTGGGACAACACAAGTTAACAAATCCTGCAGCATTAAAACAAATAATAACCTGGCTAGGTTGAGGTAAGGCTAAAAGACAGGGAGGATGAGCTGTGCAGAGA